CATTGTCGTGAAAATGGGCTATTTGGGCTTAATTAGTGCCGAAAGCTTTTCGCGAGATCTGTTCAATCCACGGCCTCACATCCCTGATGAGTACGCACGTCGCGCTATAAAGTCGTGGAAGAGGATGATCGAGGTGCTCAAGCAAAAAGCTAGTGAGACGGTCCGGAATGACCTACAGAATAGGCAGAGTAATACGGAGTAACATAATGAGTAATTAGGTCTTTCTATCTAGATACTCTAGATTAATAAAATTATTTACCAATATTTTTAACACGTATTGCAAAATCTTAAGAAATCGCTAAGATAGCTGTCATTTCGTATCTCGGCTTAGACTCGTTTTGCACTAACTTTTTCACTACGCCAAATGATATAGCGCAAATGAACCTCGAGAGAACCTTTGATCGTTTCCCATCTAAGGATTACACCTGGGCACTGCATTTTATAATTTCACTAACGAGCCTGAGTATTCAGAAAAGTCAAAACACTACTAGACTATACTTGTGTCTTAAGCTTTGCTACACTGAGCTTCCTCGCTAGCAGTTTTCAACCGCGGAGAAGCTCGACCAAACTGCGCTCAATGATGCCCTAGCGTTATTGTGACAAAACAAGCCCTCGTTTGCACACGAATCTCAGACCACTTCCCGATGCCATGGATGTCCATCGGCAGCGCTCGTAGCTTGCGTCTACAACCTTTTTTTACTTCAGCTTTCTCTCAAGGCAGGCTGCACTTTATCAAACAACCGAGAAACAGTCACACATGCGAAATCAAAATGTTGATTGACTGATAACATCGACATTTATTACCGTATGTGAAAGCTTACGGCGGACTGCATCGATCTCGCCAATCAGTATTGTTCTTGACACGCCTTCCTCAGCATTTGAGCTCTTTTCTCTTCTCGAATTTTCACCGCAAACTGAAACCTTTTTGGACCAGTGTTGACCCCGGGTTTATACTCGTACCATGGCACTGGAATCACTGCTCCGTCATCATCGTGTTTCTTAGTCACGCTACACGCCCACATCAACATAGTCGTCTCGATGAACAAGGACCGCTCGGCCACAACGAAACCAGGACAGATTCGCCGGCCAAACCCGAAAGACGCGTAACGTTTAATGTTTGGGTATTGGTTCAGGGGAGCTTGGAAAGTGGGATACTTCGGATCTAGCCAACGTTCCGGATTGTAGCTTTCGGCGTCAGGGTAAATGCTCTCGTCTTTAAACATCGCATACTGGTTAGCGTGAATGATGGCGCCTTTGGGGATGAAGAAGCCGTCAAAGCTGCCTTCCTTGGTTGATAGATGTGGGATCCCTTGAAAGTCAGTATTGTATCCGTTCAAGTCCTGACCTTGGGTCGCGGTTTTCGTATTTCTGCAGTCATAGGGTGCAGGGTGATTGGTTACTTACCTCCAGGTACTACCGGCCTCCATCGTAGGGTCTCCTTGATTGCAGCACGCACTGTCGGTAATCTTGGAAAGTCATCGAAAGTGGGTAGACGGTCGCCGATAACCTCATCGATCTCTTGTTGAATTTTTTTCTGCCATTCCGGGTAGTACCACATGGCTAGGCAAAATGATTGCATGGTGGATGAGGTAGTTCCCGAGCCGCCCTCGAACAGTGTCCCTAGGCAATAGGCCAGGTCGAAGTCTGATAGGTCGTAGTTCTTCTCATTGTCCAAGTAGCCGTAGATAACGGCGCGAGTGCCGTCATTCGATGGCTTCTCAGTGATATATCGCTCACGTGCCTCAGTCACCAGTCCATGGAAATATGAGTACTCAAAGTTGTGTAGTTTTTCGGCCTCTCGTTTGAACCCTGCGAGGGACTTTGGCAGATATCTCAGAAAAGGGAGAAAGTCGACTAGATAAGCCCCCGGGGCTCCGGTTCGCTCGAGGGTATGAACAATAGTCATAATTTTCTTCACGTGGCCCTCTTCTTCGGCACGGGATACCTTTTTCCCGTAGATGATTTGCAACATGGTGACGGACGAATACCGTTCGAAGAAATAGTCATATCGATCGGGATCCTGGACAAGGTCATCAACTAGCCGTGCGGCCTCGAATATCTGCATATCTCCCCATCCTTCAAGGGAAACCGTAGAAAGTTGAGCCGCCGCCAATTTTCGAGCATTACGCCAGTATTTGTTCAACGGACTCGAGCCTAGATTACCGCCTCCGGATACAAGGTCGTGTAGCATAACGATAACAGGCCGATCCGAGTAATGGGCTCCTCTGAGAGCGAGCATGTCGTTGGCGATATTTACGTCCGAGATGACCACATGTGTCGCTCCCAAGATATTGACCTGATATATGGGCCCGTACACAGCAGCCCACTCCGTGAACTTGTGATAGGAGAAATCCTTGGGAAAATCGAGTATACTACCAATAAGAGGGTAACCCTTCGGACCAGGGAGACGTTTAAAACCATGGTATTTCGCTCTAAGGACGAAAAGATGGTACAAAAAATATGAGCATATAGAGGCAGCCACCAAAATAATGGTTGCAGACATGTTGATCGAGAGTGGTGGAGGCTGTTAATCGTGATATGACGTGGAGCCAGCTTCGGTTCTTCCAGCAGGTGAGGGTCATCAACATCATATAGTATACACGGCAGAAGTCGGGAAACCGTGAGATTGGAAAAACTTCTGGTGTGTCAATGGAAGACGTCATGTTAGACTGCGACCAGCATACAGTACATTGCTATGTCAATAACCCACCCTGAAAGACACCCCAGGATCCCTCCACTTCCCGCCCCAGAGATCTGCCCAGTACCCTGGAGTCAGAAATGCTCGGCCGATAGGATCGCCATGCACGTGAGACACGGTCAAGCACGGCTGCACCTGAAGACCGCTCATAGACTGACAAAAAAGGGCCTGAGCGCGGTTTGTGAGTCAAGACACGGCCGTAAAGTTCGCGACCTCAATACGCTGGGACAGACGGACGGAGGACGGATCTGGATGCGCGCAATAAGTCCAGAGATCCAGAAAAACTCAAGAACTGCTAGTGGAAGCGCCCCCCTCCCCTTACCCCCCCATAGTCAGGTACTGTATCGGCGCCATGATTTGGGCGACTCGGGCAGTATGCGCTCCATCCACCCAGTCGGTGTGAAAATGATATAGGAACGACTATCCCAAACGTGCGGAGCCGTTTGCGATTCTAGAAGTCTGGAGAAATTTGAGAAGCAATGGGAGTCACTGCTTTTTTACTCCGAAGATAATATATTGACCGGTGTGATTTAAGGAATTTTCATCAAAGACAGTGGAGTTAGCAACTATGGACATCTTCAGTTGCCTTTTGGAACCATGGTCTTCCTCCCCTCCATCATGCTGGTCCAGTCTGGATTTTGTCTTGCTCGAGCACCATATTTCCGCAAGCCCTCTGGAATTATATTCTCCCGCCCGACGTCTGTCATACGTGCGATGAACACCACTAGATGGGCATCCAGAGCTGTAGGCTTGTCACTAAAGATCCATGTCTTTTCTTCACCAACCATTCGGTCCAGAGATGCAAGGAGATCCCTTGCTTGTTGCTCCATTCTAGTAACTTCGGTTGGAATGAGGCCGTCAACCTTTTTTTTGCACTCTATTCATCTATCAGGATTTGGAATGTGGTATTTGAAGGGTTAGGAAAGCATAGAATAACGTACATCGACAGCTTGAATTCGAGGGCCTTTCTATATCGGTTTGAGATGGTCGGATCTTCAAGTCGAGTTTTGATTGAATCCACAATACCCTGGATGACATCCATCCGGCCAGGGAATGACAAAGAGAAATAGTTCAATGCGTGGAGGTCGATCAACAACTGACGGATTTGTTTCTCGTGGGCGACAGGCATGAGTTCTGGATATTTGGATGCCATGTAGAATGTCATCTTCAGACTGTCTGGAATATTGCCTGATTTTCCTATGCAAGAGAGCACAGGTACCTTTTGCATTATCTTAGCGACTAGCCAGGCTAGATTCAGTACTTCGGAATTCTGCTCATACCTGGCCTTCAGGATTGATATCACAGAGGAAATGCTCCGTCAACTGTTCCTGGCCAAAAATATCGACTTCCTTCAAACTCACGGCCATCTCGGATTGTGCATCTTTAGGCTGACCTCGAAGTCTCAGGGTGTACAGAGCCATTAGGGAGCATATTGAGTATCGGTTGTAGTATAAGATATACTCATTTACGCTGGTAGCCATGACAGCTGGATTGACAACTGTTCTCTCAACTTCCTTATGAAAATTCCCGAAGTGTCAGGCATTAATTGATCCTCTTGCTGAATGCAAACTAGGAAATAGATTTTGATATACACCAGAGAGATACAAATGGTATCTTCCGAACCCGTAACAGGCAGAACTAGTGGTCCCTACGCATTAGGGATAAGCTTTATCGACCCCATTATCCGCCGTGAGACGACAGGATACTAGTCATGTACCCCGTCCTATGCCGCGAAACCGAGACCCGTAACGGCTTTCGCTCATCCGGGGTCAAGGTTCCGCGGAAGACGATTACGGCATCTGACATGGAATGGCGATCTTGTGGGCCGATATTGATGAGGTCTGTGACCACCATTTTGCTAAAGTCTGGAAACGAGGCTCTGATTACGGCCGTAGTTAAGGGCCGTGTCCGACGACGTGGTGAAGACCCCTGTGTATGGACTTTGTCAACGCCGCGATGCGCCGATGTGTGATGGCTCTTCAAAGAACACAGGAGCAGATTTCAGCATGACCACAGTAGTCACTCTGATAGATGTCACCCACTGCTGCAAGTTCTCTACGATGGTGTATTTCACGCTCGCTTTGTAATAGGAACGTTCTTTCGCAGATGACGTTGGGGTATCTGCTCCACTGACCGAGAGTCTTCATATACTCTGTATTCTTCATTGAAACCGGGTATCTCTATCGACCAACCACCTTACCTTCCCTCTTTTCGCTAAAGTTTTTGTGAAGTTGATCGCGATCATAAAGTCCTCGGCACAGTACCTCAGCTGAACGAGCTCGACATTACTATTTTGCTGATCATGGAGACTTCCCAATATTCCGAGCTACCTGCTAGAACGGCAGAGTTGCTCCAAGGCTCAGGGCCAGCTGCTGAGACTCTAAATGCACGCCTTGAGCATTTTGCCTCCATGCAACTACGAATACCCGACAAAGATGGAGATTCAGAAGTCCTCGATGGAGTCACCTTTGTACATCATTTTGTCAAAGCTCCCGGAGACTACGATCTGATTTCCTGGCACTATGTTGAAGCTGGAGAGGGGGAACCTATCGTGTTCCTACACGGAATCCCGTCCACTTGGTATATGTGGCATCACCAAATGGCTGGCTTAGCAAGTACGCACCGCTGCATTGGAGTTGATCTAAAAGGATACGGTCAATCCGAGAAGACACCAGGAGACTACACCCATGAAGGTGCGGCAGAACAGCTGTACGCCATGCTCCTGCAGATTGGTGTCGATAAATTCAATCTTGTCAGTCATGACCGAGGAACTGTCCAAGCCGATTTCATTGTGGCGAAACATCCCAACAATATTCTTCGCTACGGTCGTGGTGAACAACATTTGTATCACTTTAATCCCAGCGTTGCTCCGCAGGAAGAGCAGTTCCGCAACGCACCTTGGACGGGTATCATGGAAGACCCTAAAAGGCTTGTTCTGTGGGCGTACACATGGCTGGCAGTCTTACCCATTCCCGACAATGAAATGATCCGGATCATACAAGAATGGTCTTACCCTGACATCAGCCGCTCAGCACAACGATATTTTCTGTGTTCGACGTTCCGAAACGAGTGGTTGGCAAGACGTCGTACGCTACTAAAATCTTGGATATGTCCAGTGTTGATCATGCAAGGCTTTGATAGCAAAACAGAGCCGCGCGAATGGTATGAAAAGGCTCGTGAATACATACCGAACTCTCCAGGTGTATTGGTAGACTTTTTACCAGGGGGACACTTTTGGGCACAAGAAAGTCCTGAAGAGACTACGGGTGCAATTCGAAAGCTTCTCCAGATGTAATTTGGAGGCTTCTAGATTCTCTCTGTAATGAACACTGACAGAGAATAAGTCTGATAACATAGACCCAGTAGCTCTGTCCAGACAGTGAGATTGTTTCCACAAAAGATGGCCTTCTACCTACTTTACCGCCGTGAACGTGGCGACAAGTCCCACGCAGCTCCCCATTCGTCCATACCATCATTTGATTTCAACTACAATTCGGACAACAAAAAGCCTGGGCGCTGGACTGCACATGTTGTTCATTTACTGAGGGAGAGCAGCTCCACCACGAAATTTCCACGCCCAATATTCTAGTGCGGCGATATACCCGAATACACCGAGTCCAGCAATGACTCCCTCAGCTTTGTCACTCAAGTAGCTGTGGTGCCGAAATGGCTCGCGCTTGTGAACGTTCGAGATGTGCAACTCGACAAAGGGAATATCGAGCCCTGCCAAGGCATCGCGAAGTGCCACCGACGTGTGCGTAAAGGCGGCGGGATTGATAATGACGGCGTCGATGCCCTCTTCGTAGGCGGAGTGAATCCGGTCAACAATGTGACCCTCGTGGTTCGACTGAAATGATGAGAGCTTGAGGTTGTACTTGCTGGCTTGCTGATACATGGAGTCCTCCACGTCCTTGAGCGTCGTTGACCCGTAGATAGCCGGCTCTCGCGTCCCAAGGAGGTTGAGGTTGGGTCCATTGATAAGAAGAATCTTTTTAAGTTGCTCCTCGGCCATGTTGGACGCCTGGGACGCTTGGGCAGGTACGCCAAGCATAATAGAAGACGCAGTCTTTGCGCAAGTTCCCTCCTGCTTTCTCTTTCCTGGCGGATAAGTCTCAACCCATGCACAATGTCGCCCGTCAACGTAGGGAAGATATACACTTTATGATGAATAAAAGGCTCGGCGATTTCCTTACGACTGACCATATGAGCCACAACACTCTTGGGCTAGGCTGCCTTTTTTTATAATCCAGGCGTGGGCACCGATCCTCTCTGGTCGGACGTAGTCAGTCAGCAGTGCGGCATGAACTTAGCCGAAAAGGCTCCATCGCGGCTGTGTGGGGACACCAGAAGAGGCATTGGGAGCGTCAAAGAGCTGAGTATCCCCGATACGTTCACGTGTTCACCTCTCCAACGATGAACATGTTGCTCAAGTTTACAAAACTCTAGTCCCTCCAGGTGTTAATTATTAGCACTGGCCTCGAACAGATGTGACGCTGGTGCGAGGCCTTCCGGCGATTGTACAGCAGTCGTGTGAGGAGGTCCCTTTCCTGGTCAGGACCTCCTCGTAGATACTGTCTTTGATGAGGAAAACCTATCCCGCGTAATCTATATGGGCTTCTGGGGTCCCAAAAATTCTCCTCCATCCGGCTGAAGGTCCGGGCCTATTTACGACTTGGCCGCATTCCTTGTATCTAAAGCTTCCCGGATCGCTAAAACGGGAGCACGCCTGCCCGTCCACATTTCGAATTGGCAATATGCTTGCTCTTTCAACACAGCAACGCCATCTTCCACCTTCCAGCCAGTTTGGCGTGATGCAACCCGCATGAGAGCAGTAACTGGCGGGCGATAAGCCATTTCAATCACTACCCCGGCGCCCGTCGCGAAGATGTGCTCTGGGATGTCGGCTTCGGTCACGTCGTCGGCGGGAATGCAACTGACAATCACGTCTGCGGTCGGCGCTTCAGCCAGAGACCCGTATATGTCAACTTGCAGAGGAGAGAAGTCGGCTATCAGACGTTCCGCGGTGTTCCTGCTTCGATTCACCAGACCTATGTGTGGAACGCCCATCTGCCTGTATGCGTACACAGCTGCGCGTGCTGCGCCACCAGCCCCGATAACGAGACCAGTGTCAAGTTTGCTCAACCCGCTGCCCTGGATGCACCTCAAGATACCAACCCAGTCGGTGTTGTCACCGCGGAGAGTCCGGCCTGACTTGGTCTCCTCAACAATGACTGTGTTCACCGCTCCAATTCTGGTGCTAGCCTCTGACACGGAGTCCAGAAGCGGTTGGATGTTCAGTTTATGAGGGAATGTGACCGACGCGCCGCCAAATTGGGGCTTTTGCACTAGATCACGCACAGTATCGTCGATCTGAGGTGTTTGGTGTATCGAATAATGATGCGGCAAACCTAGCTCGGCAAAAGCAGTATTGTGAATGGTGGGACTTAGCGAATGAGAAATGTTATTCCCAAAGATGAAAAAATTGCGTTTTGGGAGTTGACCCATGAGATGCTTAGCGTAGTTGACCTGGGCCAAGGATATCTGACCCGGTGCCGACGGGGCTGGTAAAAGAGGATGGGTGACAAAAGAGACGGGGCTGATGATGCGGGACAGCTGGCCTGCCGAACCCATAGCCACTGAAATAATGGGTTTGCCCGAATGCGTCTTATATTTCCGTTGCAGTAGTGCCAGTTCGTGGCAGTCTGCAATGTCAGTAGCCTGAAAGCTGAGCTTCAGGATATCTGCAAGAGTCGTCAGCATGGACCTGAGGTAAAAATTGGCACGGGCTGATGCAACGCACCTCCGTAAGTGTTCTGTTCTATGTAGTGCTCAAACAAGGAATCTGACCACCTGATGTCTCCAGTCCAGTCATGGACCGAGGCGATAAGTTTACTGGTCCCCTTGTGCTTGACAATTTCTTGCTTCAGGGATTCGGGCCAAGCAAACTCCACGTCGATATACTCGCACCCGTGTTGGGCGGCGAGTAACATCAGTTCAAGGGCTTCAGGTGCTGCATAATCCGGAAATTTGCCTCCTTGTGAGACTGTCCGTACGGTGAAGATGATAGGGAGGTTCGAGCGTTGTCTCAACCAGTCCAGTTGCGAGAGCACATGGTCTTTGGAGGGTACTTTAGTCCCCTCGTTGAGCCTCAGCAGGTCAACCCGAAGCTCCCACACATCACCTCCGTAGCTGATCCTTTCGAGGTTGCTGCCTGTTTGTGTGAGATCAGGAAAGGTGAGCGGAACGAGGAAGATTTGTTTTGCTTGGGCATAGTACGACGATATCAAATCCTGCTTTGTGCCGTTGCTCATATGTGAAGCCATAGTTTGATGAAATGACCTCCAGCGTCCAAGCAGAGGGTATTGGCCTCGAAAAACCGGCCATATAAGCGGTTTTGGTTGGAGGGCGTTCCAAACACGCGCTCCACTCACGGCAAAGGGCTCAGCCGGTCCATTACGGGACCGTGAGTCGCGCGCCCTAGGAATGGCACCAACCCACTTATCTGCCGGGATCAAACCTAGTCGAACATTTCCGGTGATCTACTGTAGTGCAGAACCCACTAGTTCATATTGCTGTCGTATAGCCCTCCTCATCACGTGGACTGGGGCAGGTCTGCCAGTGAGAATCTCGAACTGTGAAATGCCCTGCTCAACGAGCACATCGAGGCCATCCACCACGACCCAGCCCCCTGTGGACCTCGACTGCATTTGATCCATCAACCGGGTCACCAACGGCTTGTACGCCAGCTATGAACAGTTAGCCGCGGAGGTTCTGATCACTCGTATATTCTTACCTCGACGAAGACTCCGCCCGTTCGGCTTTGCAACCATTGATCCGGAATAGTCAGTTCATGAGCTGCTTGTCCGGAGATAGAATGAGCAGGGATGCAGGATACGATCACTGTAGGCTGACGTAGTCCCTCAGGCCACTCAGACTCTAAGGTTGAAAGTACATGGACATCCAAATTCTGCTGCCTGTAGTGGTTCGCAAGTGCTTCTGCATGTGAAGCCGTCCGATTGTAAAGGCATACGATCCTAATTCCCAGGGTTCGACAGGCATAGATCGCTGCCCTGGCCATACCTCCAGCTCCTATAACTAGAGCAGTACTGCCATCGCGAATGAAGTTGGCGGGAGATATTTTTCGCTCAATACACTCCCGGATGCCAACGTGATCGGTGTTGTAACCTTTCATGATAGTATCAGTGTTATTAGACTGGTCCTGGCGTCTCTCAATGACTAGCGTATTGACTGCGCCGATATCTTGCGCTTCGGGGCTTACACTGTTCAGCATGGGCAAGACCTGCATTTTGAAAGGCAAAGAGATTGCTAGACCACCACATTCGGGATCAGCCAAGAGTTCGTGGATGGTGCTGAGATCATCTGACTGGCGCAACCCATAAGAATGCGGCATGCCACACGCAACATATGCTGCATTGTGCATTGCAGGTGAAAGACTGTACGAAACGCTCTGCCCGAGGATGGTAAACTTCTTTCGAGAGTGGATGAAGCTGGAATACAACGCCATTTGAGCTTGTTCGATTGTGACACCGTCGGTAGACATGGTAGGAAGGACCACTGGTGAGAGGACTGGATTGAAACAGACAGAAGTCCGGCCGAGAGCACCTGTGTTGTACGCAATCAGTGGCATTGTCCAAGTCTCCCGAGCGATCTGAGCATCGTAAAGAAGTTGTAAATTCTCCGGGGCGGAAGCAACTTCGTGGGTGACGCGAACAGCATCGCAAGCAAGTTGCATCGCAAGGTCATGTAATTTAGTCCATGAAACTTCCTCCGCAACTCTGGCCTGCTTGCTACTCTCATAATGAAGGGTTCCAACAATTTGAGTGGAACCTCGGAGTGACACGAGGGATTCCACCTGATCACGGCCTATCCCCAGACACACCGTCAAGAAGTCTGGAGAACTCCGAAGGCAGAGTCGAAGGAGCTTGAGATAATTGACCGAGTCCTGCGCTCCTAAATATGAGACATCCATCATGATGGGAGCTCTCGCATGTCTTCGCAAAGTGGCCACTGCCTTGGGAATCAATTCCAGAAAGTCCTCGGCAGTATTGAGCCTTGGGTCGATGACGATACTGATCATGTCTGCGCCAGATTCGAGTGCATCGTATTCTAAGACATGCGCGTCGAGCCAGTGAAGCGGAACCTGTAGTACATAAGTGTAGGAAGCAGACAAAGCACAGACAGACCGCAGGAGCTGTGGGACGCGTCCGTAGATACGATGTAGAAAACGAACGAAATCCACCTCGGTCTGCTTGAGTTTTAGCGTTCTAGCCGGATTCCTTGCGTTGGGACTATCGAGAGTCCAAGTAATGTTGTAGAAATCAAAATTCGAACACGAACGGTAAAAGGCATCGTGGATCCTGTACAACTGCTCCTGGTTGTTTTGATCCCCAAACATGTCGCCAAGGTCAGTTTTGTCTCTTTGAACGTAGATGACAGGATGTGTTTGAGCGAAGGTCCTTAATAACCGCTTCTGAGCATTGCTACCGAACGCCGTCAAGCCGCCAATCACGTGATCGTGACTGTAGGTGCTGAGGAGGGACTGGGTAGCTTTTGTCTCAGCCTCGCGGTAAGATGGCATTCCATGAGTGGAGATATAGTCGTACGGTGTCATGCCCGTCCCTTTCTCAAAGGCCTTGCTAAAGTCGACATACTGACGGCGCAGAACCACAGATGCAATCACGGATAGAGTATGTTTGCCGGCTCGTGGAAACCCAACCAGAAGGATGCTAGCATGGGAGCTGTACACCATTTTATCAGTCGCTGTTGTCTGCGCTTCCAGGAGTGCGACTGTGTCGGAAGTATCAGGGCCTGTATGACGGCCTGGAGAAGACAGCCTCGAATAGGATGTACGAGACGCAGTCTCCGGGACAGAAGTCATCGCATGGCTGTTTGTTACCTGAGGATAAAGGTCGGGGGCGCACTCAAGTGCCTCAGCTTTCCGCTTCATGGTCACTAAGGTGCATTCCAGAGTAGCCCTCCATCTGTCCTCAGCATTAACACAGGTTTTCAGAGAAGAAATGGCAATGATAAGGGTGTCTTTCTTCTGGCAGATTCAGTGCACGGTGCTGCAGTGGGAGGCCAACATTTCCGGCAAGAACATTAGCCGATCACGTGACTGTCAATGAGGAGACTATAACGCCCGCGCAGCCCCCAGGAAAAAATCCCACGCAGTTCTAGAGTCGTCTGAGCAGCCTCCAATGCGGTCTTCAAATGTCCACATCTTACCCTGGTCGAAGCATTGACCAAAATTACCTCGAAGCCGGAACCGGGCTACCTCATCGAGATTGTTTGGGCAGAGTGCGGCAGAGCGCTGTTATCCAGAGGGAACCATCAGAACTTGCTCAGCTCATGGCCCCATGTCCGACTCAGGCCCAGCATATCCGAAACGCCAAAGAATATCACAAGCCTGTAAAGAATGTCGAAAGCGCAAGTCAAAATGCGGAGGTGAATACCCATCCTGTCTGGTCTGCGTCTCGACGAATCGCGCGTGCTCGTATGACCAGAATTTCCGAAAGCGTGGATTGCAAACTGGCTATGTGCGAGCTTTAGAAGCGCTGTTAGGTACAATCGCCCGCGACTCTCCCGAAATTGAACGGAAGATCCGGGCATCACTCCGTTCGCGAGACTTGCAAGGCGAACTGGACGAGAACCGGTTCACGGATGTTGCTGTCGAGACCTGGCGGAAATCTGGTCTCTCAAAAGACATCGAACAACTTCTAGCAGCCTCAGAGGCTGTTTTTAGCACCTCCAGTATAGCTCTTTCGCCAATCTCCTACTCAGATGTCGAGGATGAGCAGGGGAACGGGGCTACCGGTCTGCAAGAATCTACGCAGCAGCCGTCCTTAGCTTTACATGCTTCTCCTGCTTGGGATGGTCCAACTCAGAGCCTTCCTGATTGCTTGTTGCCACTAGGAACCTCGGAACTGGTCGAATTTTACTTCTCACAAATCCAGTGCTGGTTCCCGGTCTTGGAACGCCGAGACATCCTGCGCATTCTCCATTCGGAGACTCCTCCTTCGGTTCTTACAAACAGCGACAAGGCTCTGAAATCGTGTCTCTGGGCTATATCTGCCTTGGTGACTGCTCAAAGACGCTTTAGGTCCAAGGTACGCCTCACTTACGAGCAGGTGCTGGTCGGTCTTTGTCTACAACTCAATGAACACGAACAGCAACCAGAATTGGGCCATGTTCAATCTAGAGTAATCACTGCTCTCCTGAGAATCGGTTTGGGTCAGCTCCATGCTGCGTGGACGACGATCGGTGCGGCGATTAGAATGCTTCTCGGGTGCCAATATCGTCCTCCGCGCTACTTGCACACTTTATTTGGGTGCATCATGCTTGACAACTATCTCTCTTCCCTTTTGCGAAAAGGTTCCTACTTTCCACCAAGCGACCAAATATATCTCGCCAAGGTGGACGAAGATTCAGTGGAAGAATGGGAATACTGGATCCCGCCCTCGGAGTGTACAGCTGTTGTCGCCGATGGGAAGAGAACCCCGCTGCGGTCGCTTAGTATCCTGAATTTCATGACTCAGCTTATGTATCACCTTGCAAAGATCAATGATCCAAATGTGGATGAAGCAAGGCTTGCTGAAGGTATCACTGCTCTGCAGACCTGGAAGGAAAATCTGCCAGGAAATCATCAGATCTCAAGCTCTGGTTTCTCCAATCCCTCTCTTTTGAATTTACATCTGATGTGGAATTTCGTCATGTGCACTTTGCTGATGAAGATCACTACCCCCCGAAACTCTATTGTTGAATTGGCAGAACAAAGCGCAACTTCTACTGTGGATCTCCTCAGCATCATTTCAAGAGACACGGGCATGCAGACTCCGCTGTTGCTGGGATATGCCTCTCAAGCTTGGACCTGTTTGCACGTTCTAGTTTGCCCTGAGGCAGACAGCAGTGCATGTTCGGCCATGGCGAGGCTTCTCGAGCTGAAGGAGAGCTTTCATCAATATTGGCAAACAGGCGACTGTGGCCAAGAGAACCAGCCGCATGAGGCTGCTGAGATTGAACAATCTCATCCAGGCGCTCCAGGGAGGACGCTGTCACCGTTGCTTGGAACGGCTTCCTTGACTATGGATGCTGCACGTCCAATTCCCGATGATACGTCTGCCGAGGCCGACCGCCATCAGAGATCTCTCTTTCAATCTTTTCCAGAGGTACAAACTGCGACCACCCATCCTCGGGGTCTCGCTACGAACCAGGCTTTACCAGCAGAAATGGGAGCTAGTAGCGAGCTGGAAAACCTTGATGTGCCCAGCGCAGACCAATTCAGTGATGTCAATGATTTTGATGCCATCTTCACTCAAGGGTCGTGGATAGCGCCGATGAGGAGGTAAGTGGCACACCATCTGTTTGGCCTTGTTCGTGCTGATCTGTGAAGGCCTGATGATCAATCTGACTTTGCGCAAAACCTTGGTTTTATGGGCGGCGAGCTTGACCCCGAATTCTTTTCAATCCTGAGTCCAGAGGCGAACCCTCTGTGGGGGCATTGTGATCAACCGGAAGCTCCGAATGACCTATAAATTCAGTTCTCGTGCGAATTTTTGCCACGCCTTGATCCCTCTCTGCGCGTGCGTGTGAGGCACACTGGGATCAGGATCCGACATGGTGCGGGAGAAAAGCTCCATTGATACCCACCCTTCAAAGCCCAGTTCTTTCAAGAGAACTCGGGCCACCTCGACAACTGGAAGATAACCACCTTTATCCTCTTCATAGAGGAATAATCTTGCATTTCGACTCCAGCTCATCCTAGAGGGCTGACCATCGACGTGGAATGGATGATCCTGCGTGAGAGGAGGATCCATCCTCTCAGCATCCACGACCTGGACGTAGAAGACTTTATCGAGGGACACCGTCTTGACGATTTTCTCCAAGGAGGCCTTGAGGTCTTCGTCGGCATTAGAAGTTTTGCCAGACGGACTCGCGGGATCGGCCCAGACGCGGCCGGCAATGTTGAATGTGTCCAGACAACATCCAAAGTTAGGACGGTCAACCCGTAAGATTACCTCCCACAGTGTCTCCCACGTATCGACATAGGTTCCCCAGGCCAGGTTCTCGTAAGCAAATCTCACCGGGATGTCTTCTTTAATGCCGAGGTCTGCCAGCTCTCTCATATCCTGGACGATCAGATCCATGTCGCCGGAAATCCCGCCCTGCTGAAAATTAGACGGAATCTGTATGATGTCGGTGCCGAGGGCTTTGACAATCTTGAACCAGGTCTTGAGCTTCTCAATTTTCGCCGCATGTTCCTCTCGATCAACTAGGCCTTCATAGAATAGAAACGGCTGAAGGCCGATGATGATCAAGCTGAGACTATCACACACTCTTCGGATATGTTCCGCTGCTGCGACAAGCGATTCCGGAGTCACCTCTGCTCCGTCTTTCTTTGCTAGATATTCCAAGTCTTCGTAGAAAATCTCGATGCCCTCGAAGCCGGCCTTGGCGGCTTCTCGTAGTTTCCCCTCCAAGTCGTGCACCCAGGCCCGACCAAGGGACATTGAAGCTATGGCTGATCTGCAAGGCATGGTTGGGACGAATTGAAAGAATATTTGCTGAGGGAAAGGAGACAAATGTTTCTGGAGCGAGGGAATTACGACATTATACGTGTCCCGCTCCCGGCGGCTAAAACCTATTCCGGTGCCCACCTGCTTCAAAGAAAGCCCTTGGTTGGTGTTGTGGCATGAAACCACTATCTCCAACTCGCAACAAGTACTGCCGTCCTCGTCGAGGACATCATTGCCGTTCAGAATGCGTTGTAGACAGGATGCCCTAGAAGTTGATCGCCGGACTTGTCTCCGCGGCGTTTTGCAGCACTGCCCGCGCAGCATCCACGTCTATACGTTTGGCGGTGTCCTCTCCGACCCAGAGTCGATACTGCTCTTCTATCTGGTGGCCGATGATTCCCGTTCCTTCAATTGTCTTCCAGCCATGTTTCTCGGCGAGCTTCAACCACCTCGTCCGTCGGGGTTTGAAGCACATGTCCAGCAAAATTCCTTTCTCGCTTGTGGAAGAGAGAAGATACTCGATTACATCCCGCCCTGCAATTTCCTCGGGACTCTGCGGTTCAAAGTCGGGCACTGTACCCACGATGTAGAATGGTGCCACCAGCGATTTCCCTTCTTCGACCGAGCGCACCCATACGATCTTGATGCGGTCACCGTAGACTTCGGCATCCTTGCGTAGTGCGTCGACCTCGCCGGCATCCCTGTTGACAATGTAGATCGGGTTGCATTGTAGCTGATCGTACAGAGCGTAGAGGGCAGCCCTGGAGGCACCTCCGGCGCCTATTACGAGAGCCGGCCTGCCTTTACCCTTGCCCTGCGAATCCCCATCTGATAAAGAGCCTTTGATACCTCGCCAGTCGGTATTGGTCCCCCGCAGCGAGCCGTCCGAGGCTCGATACACATTGTTACAGGCTCCTATGGTGGCGGCATGCTCGTCGAGCCCATCGAGATGTTTAATGATTGTCCCCTTGTAAGGCATGGTCACCACTCCACCAGCAAATGTGGGTTTTCGAAAAAGAGCCATGGCGTCTTCTACCGTGGGACATTCTTGAGCAATGAACTTCCAGTTGTAGCCGAGCGACTGTGCGATGAAGTCATGCATCAGCGGTGCGATGGAATGTGTGACGCCGATGCCCACCAAATAAGTGAACGCGCGCTCATCTTTAGAAGAATCATTCGGCGCCATGGCTTAGAAATGTTCGCGAAAAGTAGTGAGAAAGTCTAGAATCCTAGCCGGTGGTACAATTGTTCAATAACTGGACACAATTTCCTTGCCTTGGGCAGCGAACAGGTCATACCACCACGTCCCATCTTCAGAAATCGAGGTTGCTTTTCACCTTTCAGTGGTCGGTTAGGCATTTATCCGTGCCCCGAGTATGAGGCCCAAGCCCAGCCAAGTGCATCCGCTCCGATGGGCATTCTTTTCCTAGGAGGAAGGTATATCTTTCTTCGACGCCAGCCCAGAAAGAGGTGAGAATGCGGCCAAATAGTAATTGATAGGGGTGCTCAGGTCTATCCCCTTAGCTTTGATATTGTCATACTCTAAGGTATCTGGTCAGACTAAGTCTTCTCTCGGTTTATCACTTTTATCACTATAGACCACGTTCCCTTCGTCCCTCAACCCGCGAACCTTGCAGTCATTTGGAGGTACTATATGAGACTGTGTTTAGAACTCTAGATCTTCCGCACCCTCAACCCACTTTTTGCATTGCCAATACAGCAGGTCATGTTTATCTCCACATTTCTTGAAACTTCCAGGTAAGTCGCTCTGCTCGCGTCTGTGTCCTGGCATGTCCAGCAAAACCTTGACACCCATCGTTTTTTCTTGGCAGTAAGCCAGGTATCGGTATCCGCTGGGGAACTTTCGAAGAGCTTCCTCGTCTAGCGAGGGGATCTTGTTGGGGTTGACGGGAATCAATTTGTCCTGAATCGTAAGCTGTTATGCCGAGGAGTAGAATTGGAACGACAAAAAGATGGGCCCTTACTTTCTCGTACCAGTGCCTCACATATCGTGCTTTCCATTCGCCACTCTCGGTCTTCAACCAGAAGAAGCAAAATCGACAGTCGCTCTCGGCATCTGCCTCGTCGTCATCGAAGAAAAATCTCTGAGTGATGGTGGCTTTCATTTTCGTCACGGCCCGAGTGGCTTCCATATTGACATCGGTGCTGGTTCCATGACAACGATGCATGATGAAGGCACCATTGTCCATTCCTTTCTGAGATGCCGCAATGAAGTCAAGATAGTGCGTCTTACCCGTCCAAGTGGTGTAGATATATGCATCTGGGTGGAAGATAGATTTTAAATTCTCCCATTCGCAAGCATCGCTGTATTCCCATTGGTCAGGTTAGGTTAAAGATGAGCAGGATACGGGCACTTGCCGATACGAAGGCCATCCTTCCGCCAGCTCTCTGAGCTTGTAACGCTCAAGGACAAGATTATCCGGTCCGTTATTGCGCACAGCCTTCTCCGGCCTAGAACCCGCGGGTAGAGTGTGCAAATCAGGCATATTATACGATAGCGATTGGTATCCGGACCTTCTCAAGCCAATGTCCCATTAGCTTGTTATATACCGGCTCGCAAGCTGTGTACAACAGGATCGTTCACGTGAACGGCTAAGGTCTAACCGGGAAAAGGGAAACACTATGGGGTAGCAGTGCTAGTGCGGTGGGAGGACTCCGCGTGGAAGAAATATCCGCATTAAAGACCACGAGGCCATCGGACACCCATTTAGCATGGATCGCTCGACCTCTTCTTCGCTTCAAAATCTTTCCAACCTAACCTCGACGAGACCACGCCTCTGTCTAAGGCCACCTACTCTTTCAATTCTCTATCCAGTGCACAAGCATCATGGGTGTCCTTGCTCCCAAAGATCTCTCCTCCAACCCTGCTCCTACTCAGGTCTACAATTGGAGGGTATATGCATTGGCAACATCTGCTGCGATGGGCTCGGCGATGTTTGGCTATGATTCCTCATTCATAGGAGGTTCATTGTCTCTCCCATCCTTTCGACAGAGGTTTGGATTAGCTCATGCTAGCTCGGAGGAAAGATCTGCTCTCTCCGCCCATATTGTCAGCACCTTCCAAGCTGGCTGCTTTTTCGGGGCTATATTTTGCTACATTATCAGCGAGCGCCTCGGCTTAAAGAAGACTTTGATGCTTTGTGGCGTTCTCTTCGACGTTGGTGCTGTCTTGCAAATTGCGAGTACTGGTCAACTTGGCTTGATCTATGCGGGCCGTGTATTTACGGGTAAGACCTCAACTTTTCTTACCTGTCGAGATAGGGCACCCCCGAGAACTCACACTGTGCGCAGGTCTTGCTGTGGGAGCCTCGTCTTTGATCGTCCCCGTCTATATTTCCGAGTGTTCTCCGCCCGCCATCAGAGGTCGTTTGATTGGCATTTTTGAAATTGTCCTGCAATTGAGCCAGATTATAGGCTTCTGGGTCAACTACGGAGTCAGTGAGAACATCTCCGGTACGGATGATGCCCAATGGCGCATTCCGTTTGCTCTCCAATTCGTTCCAGGCACACTCCTTGTCGTTTTGATGGCTCTGCAGCCCGAATCACCCCGATGGCTCGCGAAGAAAGGGGAATTTCCTCAGGCGCGACGCATTTTGGCCTCTCTACGCCAACTCCCCGAAGAGCACGAATACCTTGCCTGGGAACTTCATGCCATTCGTGCGCAGATCGAGGCTGAGAACACCGAGAGTGCAACTAGCCTGCTCGGGAAACTCAAGGAAATTTACAATACCAACGTTCGCACACGCCTTCTCATCGCAATGGCGCTGATGATGCTACAAAATCTGAGCGGTATCAATGCGCTCAACTACTATTCACCCACCATCTTCAAGTCAATCGGCTTCACAGGAACGGACGTCGGCCTCCTGGCCACAGGAATCTTTGGCATTGTGAAGGCCACCATGACGACAATCTTCATGCTTTTTCTCGTCGACCGCTTTGGAAGACGTCCTGCCATGTTGGTTGGATCTGCTGGTGCCATAGTTGCCATGTACTATCTCGGCGGCTACACCAAACTATCGAACTCGTTCAATGACACACCCCCCAGAGATGGCGGCGCATACGTTGCCATTGTCATGATCTATATCTTCTCCGTCTTCTATGCTATCTCGTGGAACGGTATTCCTTGGATCTTCTCGTAAGTGGCCTTGGTGAGTCTGAACTACTTGATCTAATCTTTTTACAGGGCCGAGGTCTTCCCCATCGAAGTGCGCCAGGTCTGTTTAGTCTTCACGACTTGTACTCAATGGCTTGGCCAGTTCATGATTGCTTACTCCACGCCCTATATGATCACAGGAATCACTTATGGCGTTTTCTTGTTCTTTGGAACTTCGGTCGTCATCGGCGTCACCTTTGTTTTCTTCTTCTTGCCAGAGACAAAAGGTGTCGCTCTGGAAGATATGGATATCATGTTCAACGTCAAGGGCTGGGCATGGCAAAAGAGAAGGGAGACAGACCGCATTCTTGCCGAGAGGCGATTGCAACTGCAGAATGACAACGTGATTGTCGTCAAGGCCAATCATACCCACCTGGAGAGGAACGGAGCAGAGGAAAAGGTGTGAGTACATCAACGTCTGCGTCGGAGTTGGCTGCTGAACTCGATGGCAAACAACCCGTGATGGCCATGGTATCCCCCTTCATACTTGATAGTTAGACATTACACAGAATTCCCTTGTGGCACTTGCACACTTTGGTTGGATTTTGATTCAAAGAGATGGGAAGAGACAATCGTTTGAGCTTTTCCTTCGTAACAAGGATTGAAGCTACGCTTGAGTGGAATACTCGGTTCTACAGAGAATAACGTGCCTTCTGGATCCTGTCTAGGAGCTACTATATTTACATACATTTTATTGATGAGAAGCTGCGACCCTTTCGTCCAGCACATTGTGTTTCGAGCCTCGAGTCTCAAGTCATCTATTTTTACCTATCAGGAAGATCGGGGGTTCGAGGCGCGCTTAAAGCGTGCAAATCATTTATTGTCAGCTTGGGTACACTTGAAGGATTTACGGTGTCTCAATCGG